AGATATTGATACAAATAAACATGCAACTTATTTATTTGTATCAAATCCCCTTTCTTCTCAGCAGGAAGTGAATTTCAGCCTCAGTCTCTGGTCTCCCAATGGTGATGAATCAAAAGGCTACAGCCGGAAGAACTTGAAAATATCAAGATGAAAAGAAGCCCTCAGGGTCTGGCTGTCCTCCACTCGCTCCTTCTACTGAGTCTTTCTTCAGGGTGTTGCCATTAAACTCATTGGTAAATGTGAGGAAGCATCATGGTGGGAGCTTCTGAAGATCAATGATGCAGCAACTATGATGGTTTTAAGGCATCCTCTTCTCAACCCAATCAATAACAACTTTGATGCGATTTCTTGATGCAGAGTTCTTACATTGCTGCCAGGCTTCTTCTGATTACATGTCATGTTCCTCTTCAAGAGTTCCTACTGCAGAAAACTGTACTCCTCATCTCCCAGTAAAAGGAATTGGTTTATATTGTCTTAAATTGTCTGGCAAAACTTCCTTGGTTTCATCTCCTGGCCATAAGTTGAGATATCGATGCCTAAGACCCTGGAAGATTATCTTCCTTTCATAAGAAAGAAGAAATATCTTTACTTTTCTAATACCCCCATAGTTATGTGGTGGTAGTGGAATTCACATTTTATTAGTAGAAAATATAAAACTATTTTGACTTTCAAACTCAGAGACAGAAAAGGAGATAGGCGGGGGGGAAATGCCAGATATTGCTACAGCCTGCCGGATGCTAAAACACTGAATAAAAAATAAATTCAGCCAGACTTCTTGAGGTTTAGTTGGTAGGGTGTTCATGCCCTAATAGGACAAGGAGTAAAGAAAGCAGAGTCATGACCCACTATGGCTACACATCAGCCAAGCTCAGGTGTACAAAGACCAGCTAAAGCTGCCGATGCCTAAGTAGTGGTCCACACACAGCCTTTGTGCAGAGTGTAAGGGCTCATTCAGCGCCATGCCATATATGTTTTTATATTTTGGGGGTCATATCTGTTCAGTTCTGCCCCCAAGGCCACAGGTGCGAGCCCTGTACCAAGGCTACAGAAGTGGAGCCCAGAACCAAGATTACCTCCGAAGTGGACTGAACTCCTTTGTAGCTGTTGCCAAAAGCCCCCTAATCATCACTAACAAACTTCCTTACTCCAAATTAGGCAAAGATGTCCATTCCAGTAACCACCCTAGAGCGCCCTAACCAATCACCTAACACCAGTGTTCTGGCAGGAACGTTCTCTGTCATGAGGCTACAAAAATTGGCTAATAACTCATGAAAACTGTTGACTCTTCCTGGCCTGCCAGGTATTGTCAGTCTGCTATGCTCAGAGCACCCACTTTATCTCTGCTCTTCATCCTTAGTAAACTCACTTCTTTCTACAATACTCTATATCTGGAAATTCTTTTCCAACCTGCTCTCAGATTGCCTCAACAACATCCATGTTCCCCAGCTAAGATTCTTAATTCCTAAGACTCTGTTCCTTCAATAAATAATATGCTCTATTTTGCCTTCATTTGATCACATGGTTTGAAATAATTTACTCAATTTACAAATTATTTCAGATCTTATGAATTATTTTGGATTTGGTGCCTTTGTCTGTTCTTATAGACCATAACCTCCTAGAGTTCATCGTTCCTGCCATTTGTGCTTGCCCATTTCTTCTGTCCCTTCCTAACAGGGACCCAGCTATTCCAGTTTTAGTTATTTGGAAGGCTTTTCCTCTCTCTCTACTTAGAATGACTGATTTTAAGCGAATATCAGACAAGTCTGTTTAAAGAAGCCTCCAAAATTTCAAAACTCCCTTTGTATGTTCACCATTTTAGAGCTGGCGGATGGCCACTTAGCATTTCACTGCCACGAGTCTACGTGCAAGAAATGACACTAAAGCTGAACAGGAACAAAGAAAATTTATTTTATTTGGCAATGATCTGATGTGTTCATAACAACCACTCTGGAGACTATGGAGAAAACTGGCAATCTTTAATTCTGGGATAATTTTACTGTCTTCAGTTTCCTAAATAATTCAATGGCCTTCTTGGCTTGACCATTAACATATGTAACCTGTGGAAATTGGGGGCAGCAGCGGAGTTGGATGGGTAAATTGATTATAGTCTCTGAAGAAAAGCCTTGGATTCTGGGAGAAAAGAGAGTAGCTGAGACAAGTGTGAAATTTCATAATCAATATGGATGCTAATACATCACAAAATTTGCCTTATCATTTCTATGTGTGTTCCTAACAGATTTCCAAGTTATCTACAACCATTGCTGTTTCACATGGAAAGTTTATATTAAGGCTAAGGGGCTACTAGACATGAGATAATTATTTGGGAACATTTATGAAAATAAGATTACTTTTTCCGGGTTTTAGCCTGTGATTTTTCCTTCAAGGTTTGACAACTAACTAATAATAATGCCAATAAACACCAACAATCACACGTTTGTCATTTCACCATAATAGCTAAGTAGAAGCAATTTTAGCTAAACATGATCATCCCTTGCAAACAAGATTTGGATTCACAAGAAATGAAAAAAGGGCTCACATTTTCCCTAATAATGGAAAAGAGATTATTCTTGAGGCCCAAAGACAGCATAAGTTGTTTGGAATTGGGCTTCATCTCATTATTGATATATTTTCATTTGCTGAACTGCAGCAGAGTTATGATCTGCCCTGGTTTCCTGTTGAGAGTTTTATCTTTCCATTTTTATAGTACATGCTTTTGCAAAAGAGTAAACTTCCAGAGCAATTTATTTAAGAAGATACAGCTACTGAATATCAAGATCACTAAGAAACTGCCATGAATACACTGCGGCTTTTCCTGAGAACAAAGCTTTGTCCTTGGCTCTCCCCACCTCTGATAGCATTTTGGAAAAAAAAAAAAAAAAGGCTTCAGGAGGCTATGTAGGGTTGCACAGGATGTTCACTGCACAAGGGCATCTAGCCAAGGGGTAAGTGGACTGAAATTTGCCCACACTTTCCTTATTCAGCCATGTACCCTGGCACTGGGCTGCCTCCAGCTGGAAGAAGGAGGCCCTTTTACTAATTTTCACAGAGGCATTTACATGCTAGTAGAGGTCCTTATTTAGCTTGGCAGCTGACACTGAGTATGAAAACTCAAAATGTTAAGATTAATTTTTGCTTCATAAAGGCCAGAAGGAAGAGACTGTTTCCATAAGCAAGATTCAGGATTCGGAGATAGGGAAGGAAGAATTCCTCAAAGTCAGAAAGACATAGTTTTCTGCCTCTGGATAAGTCAAAATTAACTCCTTCTAGCTCAGTTTCATTATCAGTCAATTAGGTGCAATCATGTGTATGTAGCAAGCTAAGAGCTGCCCAGGTGGCTGAGTGGTAAAGAATCTGCCCGCCAATGCGGGGCACTCAAGTTCACTCCCCGGGTTGGGAAGGTCCCCTGAAGAAGGAAATGGCAACCCACTCGAGCATTCTTGCCTGGAAATCTCCATGGACAGAGGAGCCTGGGGGGCTATAGTCCATGGGGTTGCAAAGAATTGGACACCACCGAGTCACTAAACAGCAACAATAACGAGGTAAAGTGCACCATATAGCTTTAATTGGTCCTGCACATGGTGTCTCTGGATATACAAACCATTTTCATGCCATGTTCAGTCCTGTCTGACTCTGCGACCCTATAGACTGAAGTCCACTAGGTATGTGCCAGGGAAGATGCTTAATAAATACTGTTTTATTTCCTCATATCTGTGCCCTGAGGACAAGAAATATTTAACTTTGGTATACCTCCCTATATAATGTTTCTTATAAACACATTTATAATACAATATTCTGAGTATCTGATGACCACAGCCCAATGACCACACGGCTTTTTTGTTCTCATGTCCATTTTCTTGCTCTGTCCAACATTGCTCTTTTTGTTTCTCTTTAACTGGATGTGCTTAGGAGTGCAGAGGAGTGCTGGAGTTGACCATCCGTGTTCCTGTTGAAACTAGGTATATCACAAATTTTTTGGCTTCCTTGGTGGCTCCGATGGTAAAGAATCTGCCTGTCATGTAGGAGACATGGGTTTGATCCCTGGGTCGGGAAGATTCCCTGGGGGAGGACATGACAACCCACTCCAGTATTCTTGCCTGGAGAACTCCATGAACAGAGGAGCCCAGTGGGCTACACAGTCCATGGGGTTGCAAAGAGTCGGACATGACTGAGCAACTAGCACTTTACCTCTGGAAGATGAATCTCCAAATTGCGGATTGGCAGGAGACCAGCAGCAGCTGGTAGTCTAAGTAGCCCCAATTCTGACAGTCTTGCTGACTTTCACTCCCCACTTGAGTCTCCCCCACCTTGGTTAGTATGAGCTGCACCAACATCTTGGCTGCCACTGTCCATATAAAATGCTGGCCTATGCACGGAGCCAAGTGTCTTTCCTTGTTATCCCTTGGGAAAGCTGGAACACAATGGAATTAAAAAAAAAAAGTCTTCATGAAATATGAAAGGAAAACAGAAATACAACAAAGAAAAAATAAGAAGTGCAAACTCGGTCATGAGGTCATGATTATATCACACACATAGAATTGTAATATTTCATAGCTAGTATTTCACTGTCACTATCCACTCCTCATCCCTGTTAGAAGTGATGGGAAGATGGTCTCCTTGAAAAACACGTATATATTTAGTATTTCCTGGTAGTCTTGCTTCAAGCTGATGCCTAATCAGTTGAGGATTTTTTTTTTTTTCCATCAGGATGTGATTATGAATATCAAAAGCAGCCATGCCAAGATCTTCTCTAACTGTCTGGGAGAGAATGGAACGCCTGCTGTGTAACAGGAAAAAAGCTGCCAAAATCTTGGAAGGTTTGGCACCTTAATAGAGGAAACAATGAATATTTGTTTACTGCAACTTTCCTGAAACGTACATATGTTCTCTCAACTCGGGACTGGAATGATTAGGCTTCTCCTCCCTTAACCCCTCAGCCATTTGTGACCTGCTTATATTGTAGTTCTATGAACAGTTGAGCAATGACATCATTAGAATGCTTATTGAAGTTTCCTGAATTCTTTCAAAAGATGACTCTTGCTTTCGGTGTATCATCAGTTTTGCTGATCCAACAAGAGTCATTCTGCCAATGGATAAAGCATCTACTATAGCACCACCCTCCTTTCAGAGACAATAACTGATGAGACATGTGTAACCTCATCAAGACTACTTTCGATAGGGCATCCTAAACACCCCAAAAGCCCTCTAAAGGATGACCATAGATCTCAGATCCCAATTCAAACTTGATAAAAGTGAGTAATGTTTTTAACTCTTTTGTTGACTTCTGATAATTACTACCCAATAAGTAATCAATCTATAATTTAATACCACCTATTAAGTACTCATTGTGCCATAAAGTCTACTATTTTTTGCTAACATCTCCTTGTATTTCATCCTCCTCCCTCAAGAGAATCAAGTACTTTTTGTTTTGCACCATAGTTTTCAATATATTGAAGTAGGCAAATTTTTGCCTTACAAAACCACTATTCGTGTGATATGTATAATATTCAATTAAGAATAACTTGGTTTTATAAGGCAGGCATGTAAGTTAAACATGAAGGTGTTAGGCCTCACTTATATTTGCCTAAGTTTCCAGCCATTTAAAGGGTGAGAACATATCAGCATTAAAATTACACTCAAGAGAAACTATTGAAGAATTGCTAAATGGCAAAAACCACAAACAGGATCCATTCTCAATTCAGTTCATCCACGGGAACTCCAGTCTGGCATCTACAAATAACTTAACTGCACTGGGCAAGGAAGCCAATATTTAGAGCCAATAGCTGTGTGCACACAAACTTCTGGACAATTTATTATTCTGTACAGTAAAGGGCTGGCCCATAATTCACAGGCTGAGAGTTAATGAGAATATCTGTCCCTAATACCCATAAGAAAGATAAGGGCTGGTATAATGCGGTTTATCCAGGACTTCTGAGCCTTTCAAGGGCAGGAATGAAAGCCTCTGACAGCAAAATGCAACAAGAAATATTGTACTGACCTACAGGCTTCCTGTTCTCCCATCAAAACAATCCTTGTGTACATGCATTAAGGAGCAATTCATTCTGAATAACTGTTCCCAAATAACTAGATCCTTTTTAATCACTGGTATAATTAACTTAATGATATAATTGTGTGGCTCCCAAAAGAAAGGGGTAGAGAAGTGATAGCAATTTATTTCTTCCTCATAACTCAGCTGAAAAAACTAGAATATATATATAATATATATTTTAAATACTATATGTAAATACATATATTCCATATATATTCTAGTCTAATATATGTTTTATTCAAGACTATATCTATCTATTTATCTATCTATATGGGGAGAGCAGTGAGAAACAAATTAAACAGGGAGAAATTCCCGCAGATGACTAATTGTTTATCAGACTAAGTGCTTTTATTACAAACCTTTAGAAAGTAAATATATGCCTGGGGTTTCATCAGAGTGGTAATAAATATTAATAATGACCAACTGACGAGAGGTTTTAAACGGCCCTCCTAAAGCAATGTGTCAGCAATGCTGTGTTCCGATGAAACACAGAATAAATGCATTAATGGCTTCTCCTCTGTTTGGGGTTTTAAAGTCAGGGATGTGCTCAACGGTCTATCCTAATGTCCCTCTAACTCTCTCTGTTATTTCCTCGAAGGTAGTTGAAATGTCTTGTAAAGAAGATGTGTTACCAGTCTATCCTGAAATGAACCTACCAAATCCCCTGCCTTAAATAAAAGCAGATTGTGCGTGTGTGTGTGTGTGTGTGTGTGTGTGTATGTGTGTGTGTGTGTTGTCTTGGGTACCTAACAGTTTTTACTGTTCTCAGTGTGGGCCCTTTGGCCTGGAGCAGTGCTCCCCCAAATGGTTCATGGGCCAGCATGAACGTCAGAATTTGTTCGAGCTGAAAATTCTCAGGCCACCCCCCCAGCATGGCCAACCTACTGCATTTCCGGAGCAGAGCCCAGGAATCTGTATTTACAAGCTCTGCAGGTGATGCATTTGCTCACTAGAGTTTCTGAAGTATCGATCTAGAATTTTCCTGCACTGTGAATAAAGAGGGTATAAACAAGCAGAGATCAGCAACTAAATAATGTGCTTGCTGGCATTTTAGATTTTGTATAAATGGCCCATTGGATCAATGGCATTGCTTGTACACTGACTGAAGAGTTTGGATATTGCTTTTTATGAAAGTCATGTTTATGGGATCCCCAAAAGTGGTATTGAAACTCTTTTTTTCCCCACCTGCATGGTGGTTTACATGGCATGAAAGAATCTTTTCTCAGTTGAATCCTACTTCAGTCATAGTACAAGAAATGGAGTTTGAATATTCACGTTAAGATTCTAGACCCTCAAACAAACGTGTCGGAGGAGAAATGCTAGAGAAGGATGCAAAATGGACATAGCTGTAGTTTGTGATCATTTGCTCAGAAAGGCTTATGTGTACGCACGTAAACATTGTGCCTGCAGCTGGTCCGCCCCAAATCACTGTTGTCAATTACTTTGCTACATGGTCAACTAGCTGAGGGAGTAATGCTAGGCAGCTCCCTCTGGCAGAGACAGTGTTCAGATCCTTTTCCCTTTATTCTGCTGCCTCAAAAGCAGTTAAGAGTGGTGCCTATACGCTGAGCCAGAGTGACCTACCTTCCAAGCATAAGAAAGGTAAACAAAGAGAGGAGGAAGCTGCCACTAGTGATTGGAAAAATAATGAAAGCATTCTTCTTCCCAGGCCCTCGGAAAGACTGTGAGTCCCTGAGATTCTACTGGGTCTGCCTGAATGAGAAGCGAAGAAAGAAAACAAGGTATAAGAAGACCTCAAGGATGTTTTCCTTTCCACTCCCTAGCTTCATTCCTTTTTTTAAAAAATTAATTGTTATTGGAGTATAGTTGCTTTACAATGCTGTGTTACTTTCCGCTGTACATCTAAGTGAACCAGCTATAAACATACATATACCCACTCATTTGGATTTCCTTCCCATTTAGGCCGCCACAGAGCACTTAGTAGAGTCCCCAGAGCTATACAGTAGGTTCTCATTAGTCATCTATTCTGTACTTAGTATCAGTAGTGTATATACGTCATCCCCAACCTCCCAATTCATCCCAGCGCCCTCCCATCCCCCCCTTGGTATCTATACATTTTTTGTTATCTATGTCTATGTCTCTATTTTCCTTTTGCAAATAAGATTCTTCTTAGCTAGAATGAGAAAGCAAAGCTACTATGGCTTCCAGTGAGAGCAGAAGATTTGGAAGTTAACCTGATTTTAATATTAGCTCCTTCCAAGGACACAAGGCATTCCAGGTCCTCAGCCAGGTCAGGGTGATGAGTATCTTATTCAATAAAGTTGTATTGATGCTTCATGTTTTTCACTTTTAATCCAGGGCATACCCAATTTTTTGAACACTTAATAATTAATTTCTGGGCTGATTGAGATTTGGACAATATATGAATCTCACTGGCTTCATGCCTTGGCCTGCATTCCTCAACCCCCAGACTAATTTCTTCATCCTGATCTATTTCACATGGCTTCAGGCACAATTTATCACCAAATACCATCCAGAGCAGAAATTTCGTCAAAATCCTATCTGCCACCACATGTATACACCCAGGGCTTCAATTCAAGAGTTTCTTAAACAAACGAAAGCAGTGTATAAGATGCATAACAGGTTGCACAAACAGGCAACATGTTTTTGCACCCATACCTCCATTTCCTCCCAAAGTTATAACTTCTCAACATCACAACAGATTGAGAACTCTCTGACCTTCATTTTCCTAAACCTTAGGGTGGGGTGCAAGTGTGCACTTATATGCACATGTGTTAGTGTGTACATATATGCATGTGTGTTGGTGTGTACATATATGCACGTGTGTTAGTGTGTACATATATGCATGTGTGTTAGTGTATACAAATGCATGTGTATGTGTGTGATCGTCATAGTGCATCACATATAGGAGGTATTTAGTAAATGTTTGTTGAATAAATAGTTGAAAATAAAGATTAAATACTTGCCATATAACTAGCACTGTACTGTAGCTANATATATGCATGTGTGTTAGTGTATACAAATGCATGTGTATGTGTGTGATCGTCATAGTGCATCACATATAGGAGGTATTTAGTAAATGTTTGTTGAATAAATAGTTGAAAATAAAGATTAAATACTTGCCATATAACTAGCACTGTACTGTAGCTACAAAACAAAAAGGTCACAGAGAGGATTTTTATGTGTATTTGAGGATTCCAGGATGATGGATTCACTGTAGTCTCGTAATTAATGGTATTTATTAACTATACTGTGGGAAAGAATGTACTCAAAGAGTTCAATGAATATGCTGTTAAAAAATAGCAGGTATTACTTGCACTCTGCACAGAAATACACTAAAATAAAAAATACACTAAATTACATTAAAGTCTCTTTATCTAGAGTGTCTTCCCAACCCAGGGATAGAACTTGGGTCTCCTGCATTGCAGGCTGATTCTTTACCATCTGAGACACCAGGGAAGTTCCCAATAAAAATACATTAAAGTTACAAACACTTGAGACACTCAGAGACTGGCTCAATTCAAAAGTAAGAGATCCCCTATACAACATTGTATCTGGAATGAACAACATGGCGTTGTACATTTAATTTGCTAAGAGAGTAGATCTCATGTTAAGTGTCCTTACAATAATAAACAAATATATATAAATAAATATATGCTATTCATAACAATACTTTTTCAAAAGCAAGCTAACTCTGGAGTGAATCTCTTAAGAACATTAATCCTTTCAGATCTAAAAGAACAAAGCTAGTATGCAGTTTCTTGCATGAACCAGAAGAAATCTCAGATAATCTTGTCGAAGGGCAAACATCCAAGCCAGGAATGGCCTTGTAGCTATATATTATATTTTGGTGACAAAGCCGGGATGGGGGGGTATTTTCATCAGAAAATGAAAAGAGTGATGCTGATGCAAGGTTACCTCCGAAATATTTCTCCGTGACACCCTTTAGAGAAAAACTGCAATATTGCTGATGGCTTGCATGTGGAAAGATTTCCTCTTAAAGATGCTAGAGACTCTCTGAATCCCATGAACAATTAGCTATAATCATGTAATCAGTCACCTCCAAATGTTATCCCACCTAGGCTCACAAAACTTGGACTTAATGATTTTCTCAGGCAACTCCCTCCCAAGGGAATTTCTGCCTGAAGAAGGGGGAGGGGGGGAGTAGACATATGCTAAAGAATCTTCCTAGTTAAGAGGTAGATATAATAAGCAAAAGACAACTAGCACATGTCATCCGAACATTGGAAACTGGCCGCGTTCAAGGTTTCAAAATTCCCGCTTTTAAGATGACTAACACCATATTGTCACATTTACTTTTCAAAGGGATTGAAACAAATTTTGCATTATATGATTTTTTTAAAAGCATTTGTTTTAGTTTGAAAACAGGTTCATAAATGTTTCTCGCTGGATAATTAGCTGTTGCCCTTTCATGTGGACACTGGGGAAAAAGAGGGAAATTCTAATCTCCACCATTTTAACCTCTATTTTTCTTGCTTTTTTCCCCCCTTACTACCTCAGGGTGACAAAGAAAAATAGAACAGAGACCAACCTGCAGTTTGGATTGATCGGTGACAGGCTCTACTGCTAGTTTATGCGGAGAATGTATACATGGAAATTTGGAAGAATTTACTCATACAATCAAATAAAAATCAGGTGCTACCCTGATTTCATTAACTGTAATAGCATTTATTACAGTGTCATTCCTACATCTCACATGAAGCTTTTATCTCAAAATAGAATGTGTCCTCATCTCTTTCTGAGACCTATTTCATAGTAAAACAGCTGCCAACACTCATAAAAGAAAAAAAAAAGCTCTTTAACTCTGAGGCTATATTTAGTACACAAAGCTTTTGTTGAATACATTACCATATTCTTTGTCAAGCACTTGGTTCTAACATACAAGGTGAATATATGAGAGGTACATTTTGCTAGATGGAGAGAGAGAGATTGCGGGGGAGAGCCTCTGCTCACAGAATCCAAGGTAGTATTGCNACTGAACTGAACTGAACTGAACCATTATGTTAAAAGACATGGCCAATGAGTTAAAATGTGAATGAAAAAGACAAAAGTCATTTACAATGAATGAGATCCCCAAAGGTTTCTGGTCAACCACAAACATGGTAGGCATGTCAGGCAAAAGTGACCCATAAAACAAAGACCTACAAAAACCAAAACACTTGTGAAGACTTCAGTTCTTCCTCATGAACTGAAAAGATGAGAAACAGTCAAAGTGGCACAAGAGAAGAGGCAGGTAAGTTCATCTATACCATTTTGCTAGATTTCACATATACCTGCAAAGAGAAAGAGACACAGACATAGAGAACAAATGTATGGATACCAGAGGGAGGGGGAAACAGACTGGGAGATTGGGGTTGGCGTCTACACTACCATGTATAACTGATGAGAACTGATTGCACAGAGCGGGGAACTCTGCTCAGCACTCTGTGGTGACCTACGTGAAGTTGCTCAGTCGTGTCCGACTCTTTGTGACCCCATGGGCTGTAGCCTACCAGGCTCCTCAGTCCATGGAATTTTCCAGGCAAGAATACTGGAGTGGGTTGCCATTTCCTTCTCCAGGGGATCTTCCCAACCCAGGGATCGAACCCGGGTCTCCCGCATTGCAGGCAGACGCTTAACCATCTGAGCCACCAGGGAAGCCCTAATGGGTAGGAAATTCAGGAAAGAGAGGATATATGTATGTGCGTGGCTGACTCACTTTGCTGCACAGCAGAAACTAGCATAACATTGCGAAGCAAGCATATTCCAGTAAAACAAACTTTTCTTTGCCAAATTTAAAAATACATAAATGAAATAAGCAGGTTAAAATATATACACTACTATATATAAAACAATGAACAAGGACCTACGGTATAGCACTGGATTAGAACTATATATAGAACTATATCTACTAAAAAAAAAAAAAAAAGGAGAACAGGCAGGAACACACTTGTCATTATGACCCCTTAACTGGCAAGAATCCTTCCTGAACAAAGATGATGTGAAGGAAAGCTTGCTGAGAGCAATCAATGAAGAATAACAGGGGAACCAGTGAGCAAGATGGAGGGGTTGGAAAGACGGAGAAAATCACCCTGCCCATCTCCTCTCCTCACTGTGCATGAAATCAATGCTGAGAGGGTGAGTAGGCAGCGGACACTAATCAAGTGTATTGGATTTTTATGGCTATGTTGGCAAGCTGGAGTATGACCTTGGGAAGCTGCACTTAACTGGCTATCTCTCTTGCTTCATCTATTTAAAGAAATGATAATGAGGCTTGGTTTCAAGTACTTTGGGAAGCCTAGGATGGAAGTGTAAGATATAATCATTACTTGCTTCTTTTTCCTTTTCCATCAGGCCATACTTCTCTCTCCAGTTAATAAGACCAATCACTTTCAAACTAGCAGTCCTAGTTTCTTGTTATAGAAACCCTCTTTGAAAACAGTCAGGCTTAACACTTTTTTTTAGCTTCTTTCAAAATATAACAATTGGAGCTAAAATTAGCGTTGTTCGTGTACTCAATAGAAAAGGCTTTAAAATATTTAAGGAAGGAGCAAGACCATGTGAGGAAGTCCCTAGAATCTAAAGTGGGTGTGAGTAAATGTTGTTCTTACACTATGAACTATTTTCAATTAAAGTAAAAATGGTTGTGATTCTGTAGGCACAGCTGCAAGTCATTGTAATTTCTCTCATTTTTACTGTTTTCCTGCACACCACATTTTCCTATGAAAATTATTTTCTATCTTCAAGGTTATCCAAGAATAATTATCTTTGAAAAGCACGTCAATGCAATAAGACTTGTAACTAACTCTCTTGTCCACTTTTTCCCCATTTATTTAACTTTTACCTATTTAGGAAACTCGATAGTGCTAGCTATATGTCCAACATTATTCGAAGTGCTTTACAAATATTCTCTCATTTAATCAGCAACGTTTGAAGGTAGGTACCACAGTAACCTCCAACTTATAGAAGAGAATAATGCAAAAGGAGGTTGAGAATCTTGTCCAAGCTGTGTATCTCCTACAGGTGGAGCCAGGGTTTGAACCCACCCAGTCTGGGTCTCTTAACCTTTGTGCTGCACTGCGCTTAGTGGTTCGGTCATTTCTGACTCTCTGTGACCATGGACTGTAGCCCGCCAGGCTCCTCTGTCCATGGGGATTCTCCAGGCAAGAATACTGGAGTGGGTTGCCATGTCTTCCTTCAGGGGAATCTTCCCAACCCAGGGACCGAACCCAGGTCTTCCGCACTGCAGGTGGATCCTTTACTGCCTGAATCACCAGGGAAGCCCAAGGATGCTGGAGTGGGCAGCCTATCTCTTCTCCAGGGGAACTTCCCAACCCAGGAATGGAATCAGGGTCTCCTGCATTGCAGGTGGATTCTTTACCAGCTGAGCTACCCAACCTTTAGGCTATGTTAATTTATTTGAGGTATACACCTATGTCAAATTTTTGAATAACCTTGGTAAAATTAACTGGCTTGGAAAACTTCTTAGTAGGTCAAGCTTTTCTCTCCACTGCTCCTTATCTATGCCCTCTTTCCTCACACTTCCAAAGAACCTAAATGTGCTATGTGCCACATCATTTCACATTTGCAAATCATTTCTCTCAAAAAGGACTAAACTGCCCTTGTACAAGGGCCATATTAGGGGAGAAGATTGGTTCCAGTAACTTGTTTTTCTTTTTTAAATTTTATTGTATTTTTTCCTAAAACTTTAAGCACTGAAATGAAGTGAAGGTAGTCTAATGAAAAAGAAAGAGGTGGAAGGGATAAGTAAAAGAGGAAAAAGAACAGTGAAAGGAAAAAGGGAATGAAGGAAGGATGCAATGCCTTTCAACTTTGCCAAGCCTTGTAAAATGTTCAGTTCTCACAAGATAAATTTAGTAAGTGCTAATTATTTAGAATCAGTGACTTGAGCAGTTAAAGAACAGGTTGGATTTCAAATAAAAATATCTCATTCTCCTAAAAAGAACCAGTCTTGAATAAGGCCGTTGAGCCAATGAATAATTCTTTGTTAATTTTATTCACAGGGCAACAAGAACGACCTAATAGGAGAGAATAAGGTTCCAGTTGGAGTCCGTACAGAGTCAGCCTGCAAGAGAGATGAATACAACTATAAAATCACCTTTTATTATTGAGTATATGCAATGTAAAAGGTTTAAAATTTGTGTCCTAACAACTCTCAACATTTAGAACATTTTAAAATAACTCTCCCACTCTGGTTTGATGGTATATATCTAAATAGCTACATGTTTCAATTGCAAGTAACTTGACAATCTCTCACACACATACACCCCTTATTTTTTCCAGTCTTATTCAGATGTAACTGATGCACATCTCTGTATAAGTTTAAGGTGTATAGCATAATGGTTTAATTTGCATATATTGTGAAATGATTTAGCATCCATCATCTCATGTAGATGCAATAAAAAAGAAAATAAAAGAAACAATTAATTTTACCTTGTGATGAGAACTCTTAAGAGTTTCCTATCTTAACAGCTTTTCTACATATTACACAGCAGGGTTAATTATAGTCATTGTGTTGTACATTGAATCCCTAATACTTATCTATCTTCCAACTGGAAATTTGTACCTTTAACCCACCCCAGTGTTCAACTTCCCTGTGGCTCAGATGGTAAGGAATCTCTCTGCAATGTGGGAGACCTGGGTTCAATCCCTGGGTCGGGAAGATCCCCTGGAGAAGGGCATGGTTACCCACTCCAGTATTCTTGCCTGGAGAATCCCCATGGACAGAGGAGCCTGGTGGGCTACAGTCCATGGGTTTGCAAAGAGTTGGACACGACTCTTTGAGTCATGTCTGATGGAGCAACACTTTCTTTAATCCATTTCCCCAATTCCCCTTCCCCCATACGCCACCTTTACTAAACAAAAATCTGACCTTTTTCTGAGTTTTCTTTTTTTTTGCAGCTTTTTGTTTGTTTTGTTTTTTGTTTCTTTTTTTGTTGTTAGTTTTAGATTCCACATATAAGTGATAGTGATTCTGTAATATAAATATAAAAAGATAATATATCATGGACGCACACGGTTTGTCAGGGAATGGAAGATTTGATTAGTATATGAAAATGAATCAATATAATTTACTATATTCACTAAAGGAAGAAGAAAAATTATCTCAATAGTCAAAGAAAAAAATGAACAGTATTTAATACCATTTATCTTTTAAAAGTTCCCAAAGCTACAAAGGTGATTTGACAGTAGAAATCTATAATACAATTCAGCACTTTAATAAGTAAAAGAAGAAAAAAAATTATATACCTTCTCAATTCATGAAGAAAAATTCATGATGAAATTAATACAATTGGTAAGCTGGAAATAAAAGAGAACTACCTGAGTCCAATAAAGAGTAGTTCCAAAAACCCAAATCCAAAACATTCTTAACATTAAAATGTTAGAAGCAATAAGTTTAAAACAAATAGCAATAGAACTATATCCACTATCTGCTTCTATTCAACTTATATTATGGGTTCTTGTTGTGTACTAACATATGAAAACTAAAGTTTACAATTTAAGAACTAGAATGGAAAAAATATGTCATTACTCACAGACAATATAATTACCTACACAGAAAATCTAATTACTAGATTAATAAAAGTTTAGCAATCAGGCTAGAAATAAGATTAACCCATAATCAATATACCATCAATAACAACTTTAAAATGCATGTTTTT